TGTGTAAAAGCGTCTGTGTGTAAGAGTCTCTGTGTGTAAAAGTGTTTGTGTGTAAAAGTGTTTGTGTGTAAAAGTGTTAGTGTGCAAAAGCTTCTGTGTGTAAAAGCGTCTGTGTGTAAAAGACTGTGTGCACAAGCGTCTGTGTGTAAAAGCGTCTGTGTGTCAAAGCGTCTGTGTGTAAAAGCGTCTGTGTGTAAAAGCGTCTGTGTGTAAAAGTGTTTGTGTGTAAAAGTGTTTGTGTGTAAAAGCCTCTGTGTGTAAAAGCGTCTGTGTGTAAAAGCGTCTGTGTGTAAAGTAAAAGCGTCTGTGTGTAAGAGTCTCTGTGTGTAAAAGTGTTTGTGTAAAAGTGTTTGTGTGTAAAAGTGTTAGTGTGCAAAAGCTTCTGTGTGTAAAAGCGTCTGTGTGCAAAAGCTTCTGTGTGTAAAAGCGTCTGTGTGTAAAAGACTGTGTGCACAAGCGTCTGTGTGTAAAAGCGTCTGTGTGTCAAAGCTTTGTGCTGTAAAACCGTCTGTGGTGTAAAAGCGTCTGTGTGTACAATTTTGTGTGTAAAAGTGTTTGTGTGTAAAACCTCTGTGTGTAAAAGCGTCTGTGTGTAATAATATAAAAAAAAGCGTCTGTTGTGTAAATGCGTCTGTGTGCTAAAGTAAAAATCGTCTGTGTGAAAACGGCTCGGTGTAAAACGTCGTCGGTGTGTAAAATCACAAAGCATCTCTGTTGTAAAAGTCGTAATGTGTGTAAAACTGTGTGTAAAAGCCTCTGTGTGTGTCAACGATTTGTGTGTAAAGTTCTGCGTGTAAAAGCGTCTGTGTGTAAAAGCTTCTGTGTGTAAAAGCTTTTGTGTGTACAAGCGTCTGTGCGTAAAAGGGTCTGTGTGTGAAAGTGTCTGTCTGTAAAAGCTTCTGTGTGTGAAAGCTTTTGTGTGTACAAGCGTCTGTGCGTAAAAGTGTCTGTGTGCGTTTGCGATGCAAACTATTGTGTTGCACTTCTGCTATTTTGTCTTAATACTCCTCTTCTCGACTGCCTATATGACATCTTTAATATATATATATATTGTTTCTAATATGGTGTCTCCATACTAACAAGAGAAGACCTGCTCCTCTACGCTCTCGGGCCATCCGTCGTCTAGTTTTTTGTCTTGATCTCCTAGAACCCCAATCTCAGGATTTCTGGAACAGCGTGTTTCTGGATGTTTCTGGTATATTTAATGTCTTGTTGAAACCAAGACTCAATCAAGACTCCTGCAAAACCTTTCGTATTATTTGTTTGATATTCTTTGTCTTCTGCAGGGGAGCCAAGACTTCCGGAAAACTAGTCTTAAAAGCAAAAAACACTTTTCAGCTGCAATAACTATTTTTATTCGTTGAACCACTTTCAAGCAAAATACTGAATGTCAAGCGCTGCAATGACTCTTGTTTTCATCTGGGGATCGTCGCTCAGCCTTCTTGGCTGTGGGTCGGCTTAAACTGCTATGTTGATCCAGTTGGTGGTAGTAGGGGTGGATGGAGGGTAAATCGCAAAAAAGAACGGTGGCAAACCCGCCCTCCCTCCTCTTGGACCGAAAGTTGACAGACCAGGCGCTCTGTCTTCAACTTCATAAAGCTTTGTGACATGTCACTGTAGCTTATTCGTTGAACCACTTTCAAGCAAAATACTGAATGTCAAGCGCTGCAATGACTTTTGTTTTCATCTGGGGATCGTCGCTCAGCCTTCTCCCCCAACTCAAAAATCTGTGTGACGATTGCAAGTAGTTTTTCCTTTGCCAGAGAAGAAGAGTCAGTTGCATTTGCCAGTAGGGAAACATTTGTTATGCCTCTGGAGGGCGGGTCGGCCACGTTGCTGCTTGAAGGCACTCTCGCTATCCAAATCATGGAGTGGAGGTTACATTCCAGGGTAGCGAAGTACTCAGCCATCGCATCAACGCAAGGATTGTCAGAGAGCCCTTTAAGCAGAGAAAACTTCGTGCCTTCGTTGTCCACAAACAGCACAACTCTTTTGTTTCCAAATTCAGCTTGCCACAAGTCAGCAGCCAGCAAGGCTGCAAGGGTTTCCACCTCAAAAATAATTTGCTTCTTGATACCCTCTCCAAACAGTCTGCGCATCTCCTGATCAACTCCTAATGAAAAATATTTCACCTGTCCTCCGGCAAACATGACCCCGCCAAGACCACAAGGCCAGGAGGGATGCCCCGCTTCATAGCAAGCGTCTGTGAACACCAACACATTCTCGGAACACAAAGCCTGAACTTCTCTAGGAACATTTGCCTCCATGAGATTGCGAAACATCTGCAAAAAGAACTTGTCTTTGTCGGTGAGCGCAGATCTCTTGCCTTCCGCGAAATCAGCAAGAACACGCAAGCATCTTTTGCCGGTACGGCCAAACAATTGAGATTCCGCAAGTTGCATCCTGCCACGCATCCGTTGCGCCTGTTTGTTAGTCAAGCGACCTTCCTTCACAACTTTTAGCAGTTCTTCACATAGTTCTATCCGCCTTGACTCTGTATTGCACACTAAGGCTTTGCCTGTTGATGCCGAGCCAAGGTCAAAGACAACACCAAGGGCAGAACAATGCAAGTCGAAGGGCTGTGCTTTCTCACCTTCTTCAGCAAAGATCCATCCCAGTAGCCTGAACAGTGCAGTAACCGCCTGCTCAGTACTTCCAACCAGTTTCGGCCGGCTAAATGAAATAAAGTCGTCATAGAATGACGTCCAAATGAAACAGCATCCTGTAACACCCAGCCACCACAATGCCCTCGCAAGTCGCAGAAAAGAGTGTACACTACGCACTGCTCCAAAAGGTAAAACAAGGCTTTGAAAGAAACTAGCCTTTTTGCTCCGTGGGTTAAAAACCCGGAGGTAAGCAAATTGCTGACCCTTTGTGCTCAAACCAACCTGTCTGTAGGCGCTCGCCAGATCGAACGTACGCACAGCTAAATCACTATCAACATTGGCTTCCTTGCATGCACTGAACCAAATCATCAAAAGCGCGCAAGCCACATCTACTGTGTGCAACATGGGAGACTCTGAAACGGTTACGCAAGCATTCACCCCTGACTCAGAATAGTCATCAATCAATCGAACTTTGTCATGGCGTTGGCGCAACCCGAACCTTCGTGAAAGTGGGCGGTCAGCTGGTACCATGCCGTCACTTAAAGGGCCCACTAACCACCCTCTGTCTACCTCTTCCAGGGTTTTTCTCCAAACAGTCTCATCAATCTCACTGTCACCCGAGCTCCTTACTTCCCTCACTGCAGCATCCCTCATTCTCTCCGCATTAGCACAGAGCTCATTTTCGGAGATCAGCGCTGGCTCAAACTTCTTGGGGAGCATATTTGTAACTGGCACCACACCCGTAAGATCTGAGCCACATCTAAGCTCATCCACAACGCCAAGGTCAGGATAACCCGTTGATTTCAACATTTCTTCAAAAAGTAGAATTCTTTTGCCATTAACCGCATTTGCGACATCATGTTGCATGCTTTTCTTGAAGTTTTTCTCATCACTCTCCAACTGTAAAGCCCTACGGGTCCAATGAGAAAAGAACTCGGCTCTCACTCTTGCAACGGTGGCTTCGTCATTTTCAATAGTAAAGTGGAGCGCATCCAGCAACTGCTGCGGCACTGCCGAGTCCAAAGAGAGTGGGTGCTTTGCTTTCATAGCTTGTTCAACAAACTCTTGCTCACTCCAGAACAATCCACAAAGCTTCAACTCCAAAACGCACGGAAAATTGCAAATGGTGGGTTCAAGATCAACCCGCACATCTATATTCCAAACTCGACATTGGTCATTGATATTGTTGCACAAGGACTGCAAGTTTTCCCCCCCATTTGAACTTTTTGCAGGACTTTTGAACATTGTAAAAATTCACTGTGGTGCGGCCATATGCATGAGTCACCATGAAAAAGCGCAATGCATTTGCTTTTGAACTCAGGTACCAGTGGTGCTATTTTATTGCTGGCTGGCTGATCTTGGGCAAGAGTAC